ACAAAATTTAGGGAACAACCATTTTAGTAAGACTTTAGGTTAATTTCTTGAGTTGATATTCTATTTTTCTAATGTAGTTCGAGAGTCTCAAAATTTTTAGCTGGCGATCAGCTGATGGCCCCTATGAGACTGGGATAATCAATCCCTTTAGCACATCTACTATTATTTATTTAAAGGGTTTAATCTTATCTTCACGATAAGCATTTCCTCTTCTTTCTGTGCTGTAGAAACTCATTTTTTCGTCTTCCCTCCCATGCAGTTCATATCCTGTTCTTTGTCCAAGCCAAATAATGCTGGTCCCATTTCCTTTACAATTACACATCTAGACATGAATATATGATACAATTCTGCTTACGAACTATGCAGGAGAGTCTGCTGGGCTGTGAAAAAAAGAGAACATTGTTGTCTAGAACAACCAGAGGTCATGGTTATATTTGAATGTGATGCTTGAAACTGCCACAAGCATTTTGTGATCTCAAAAGGAACTGGCCTGAATGTGAAGTCTACTGCTCAGAATGGCAGAATGAAGAGATGAAGAAAATATGAGCCATAGTGTCAGTCAGGATTCTCCAGAGAAACAAAACCAATAGCATGTATATTATGAGAATTTATTGTGAGATTTGGTTTATGCAATAATGGAGGCTGTGAAGTCCCACAATATATGTGAAAACTGGAGAAGCAGGAAAGCTTGTGGCATATATCTGTCCAAGTGCAAAGGCTTGAGAACCAGATGTGTTTATGAGAGTATGAGGATAGCAAGTCCTGGGATCTGAAGGCTCCAGAACAGGAGGTCTACCATCCAAGGACAGGGGAAGATGACTATCTCAACTCAAGAAGAGACAGTGAATTTGCCCTTCCCCTACCTTTTTGTTCTACTCTGATGGTTTCTAACAGATTAGATAATATCTACCAACTTTGGTGAGGATCGTTTTCACTCAGTCTACTGATTTAAAGGTTAACCTCTTCTGGATACACTCACACAAGCCCCACGGATGATGTTTTCTCAGCTATCTGGCCACCATTTAACTAAGGGAAGTTGGTGTATAAAGTTACTATCACAGTCTGAGAATATGAAATTGAACTTCTCAATCAATTAACCAACCTGTAGAAGTCAGATCACTGGACTTCTTGTTATAGGGAATGAAAAAGTTAAGCCAGTTGACTGTATTGCACTTTTCTGTTAGGGAAACTGATTATAGAAAAAGACCTGACTCAGCTAGTGGGAATTTATTAGCTCAGCAGTACAAATCTTGTTTTGAGAATTTTCTGAGCGTCTGCTTTTATTTATGCTTTGATAAAGTGCTGCCTTTCCAATTAATTGGTTCTTTATGAAATGACCTTTCTATAACTTGTATTTGATCATATTGCAACTCTGATTAAATTCCTCAAAGAATACTTTTTCTTTTCTTCACTTGACCACAGTTGAGCCCAGGCTGGATCTTCTTGGCTTCATATCCCATCAGGTCAGGCCCTGTGGACATCTTGATGCGATGCATTTCAATTGTTGTAGTTGCTTGGCTATGTTCTATTCTGTTGCCTCTACACTTTATAAAATTAATGCTGTAACTCAGACTTGGGATTTTGAAGGAGCTTGTATTTTCCCTTTGGCTGAACTATTTCTTGGTATTTTGCAGACCATAACATCCTTATCAGGGTGCGGAGGAGCAGAGAGAAGAAAGAAAACTTTTAGCTTTGTAATATTTATTGTCAGAATTCTGGAGGAAGGGAGAAGACCTTCAGGGACCATTTGGCCTCAGCCAGGGACATGGTCTTCTGAATTTCTACTCAGCACAGCACTCACTAGGGGAGAAGGCTAGTCCCAGAAGAGGAGCTGTAAATAAGGAGTCTATGTGTTGGACAGTTCAAGATGATCTGTGTTCCCAGTGTGTCCTCCTGTTAGAGAGTGTCCTAGTTTTCTTCTTTATTGCTGTGATAAACACCAGGATCAAAAACAACTTGGGAAAGAAAGAGTTTATCTTACATCTCCAAAGCACAGTCCATCTTTGAAGGAAGTTAGGCAGGAACTCAAGGCAAGAACCTGGAGGCAGGAACTGAAGCAGAAACCATGGAGCAATGCTTCCTACAGGCTTGCTCAGCTTATGCAGCCCAGGCCTACCAGCCCATGGTGGGCTGGGCTTTTTACTACATCAATTAGCAGTTAAGAAAATGCCTCACAGATATGGCCAAGACCAATCTAACAGAAGCAATTCCTCAATTGAAGTTCTCTCTTTCCTGGTGTCTCTGTTTTGTATCAAGTTGACAAAATCTAAGCAGCACAGACGGCAGCTTGTAAAACCAGAAACAGAAGCTTTAGGACTTTGATTCCTGATCAAAATAATGGGATCTGAATTTTATCTCTGGTCTTTGGTGGAGACATGATATTCTCAAGTTCCAGGAAGATTATAAGATTGCTATTTAGTGTGTTGGGGGACTTTCTGGTAAAAAGCAAAGACATGACCTTGTCCCCTCCCTTATGATTTGGTCCAATTGTAGGGCTGGAGAGATGACTCAGCAGTTAGAGCACTGGCTACTTTTATAGGGAACCTGGGTTCTGCTTCCAGCACCCACATGGCAGCTAACAACTATCCTTAACTCCAGTTCCAGGGAATTTGACACATAGGCATACTCACATACATGTAGGGAAAGCACTCATATACATAAAATAAAAAATAAATAAAATTTAAAAAATAGTTCAAATGGGCCTGTCAATTCCCTGGACAAGAAAATGTCCCCCAGGAAGCTGTTCCAGAAATTCAAAGAAACATAAAGTCTACCTAAAAATGTAAGTTGGAATGATGGGTTCTCTGACCACTCTCTACTCGCATCACTTTTGAGTGTTTTCCTTCTCAGTGGTCTTCCTGGCTACTGTCTACTGTTACTCCTTGAGAATGCTTTCTTTCTCTATAGTCTCCCTGGTTGCTGTCCACCTTCACCCCTTGAGAGTATTTTCTTCCACAGTGGTCTCTCTGGCCACTGACACTCTCATCCCTGGAGACAGCTTTCTTTCTTATGGTCTCTCTGGCCCCTGTCCACTCTTGCCCCTTGAGAACACCCCACTTTCTCTTGTAATAAACTCCACTTGTCTACTTCTCTGCACTCTGTCACCTGAAGTTCTTTGGCATGTAAAAAACTGAGAGGAGGATAGAGCATGATCACAGTAACATCTCCACTTCAGGTAATTTAGCCAGAGCTATGAAACCCAGAGGGGGACTGAGAAATATACCAGAGAGTCAGTTTGACTGTCACATACTTTGCATAGCTGTTTAGTATGAACATAGTGAAGGAATGTTTTTATACTTCAGTAGAATAGAGTGAAGGATTAAGAATCAAACATCCAGAGCCAAACCTAGCCCAAGTATAGATAGAACAACCATGTCCTCATGTAAGACAATGGTTACCTGGCTTCCATCAGTGGTCTCTACCCAGCTCACCCAGAGAGTAGTCAGAGCCAGATTCCAGGCATTAGTTTGTTCTAGGCCTTCCTTGGGCAGACTTCTTTCTGTTATAGCAAGTCCTTCTAGGAACAAGAGGATAGCTGAGATGATGTTGAATTCATAGAGAGCTGATGCAGGGGAACATTCTTGCTGGGTCAAGACCTGACCAGGTTCTCCTGGAACAAGTTCTCAATGGAAAACCACCTATGAGTATTGCAAGATTGAGCAAGTGGGATGAATATATTGTGAGTGGATGTCTGCACCTCTGCCATTTTTTTGGGTAACTACCAGCTGGATGGGTCAGCCTGCTTGGGGAAGATCATGCCAACCCAAGGCTGCAAACGCCCTATTGGTACAGAGGAGGAAAGACCTGGGTTCCTTCCGTCAGGGCCTACTGTGGACTGAACTGGTGTATCCCCAAAGGGGAAAGATGAGGCAGGTAAGCCACACTAATGATTTCCTTTGGCTTATCTTTCATATATCATACCTACACCTGACTCACATGATAAATTATACTACAAACCTGCACTGAGTACCTACTCTGTGTCACGTGTGGTTGAAACGTGGATTTAAACAGTCAACAAAACAAAGTCCTCAGCGAATACTACCTGTATAAATGATTTAACCAATCATTTTCCCTTTCTGCTCTTAGTGGCACATTTGCTTATGGACAGGAAACTACCATGGAAAGCTGCAGCTTCTCATGTGAAAGTCACTGTTAATCACATGGATAAACTCAGAAGTGTGGTGACTTTCCTCCAGAAGCAAGGACAGTTAAGCGGAGGAGGAGGTCACAGATCAAATCTATTCCTTGATTTGTTATCTGCAACCGATGCCACTAAACTGTGTATTGTTTTTGTTTTGTTTGAGACAGGTAGGGTTTTACACTGTAGCCCAGGCTGTACTGGAACTCACTATGTAATCCAGATTGGCATCAAATTTGTGACAATCCTCTTGCCAGAACTCGAGACTATTGGGATTACAGGCATGTGAGCCTTCATACCTGACTGGATTTGTTTTTAAACAGGAGTTTTCTCTACACACACAGCATTCAGAGCTTTCTTTCTCCTGTAAATCTCCTTAACTCTTGGACCCCAGCCTGTGTGGTGGCACAAACCTTTAATACCAGGCAGCACATCCTTGATTCCAGCACTTGGGAGGCAGAAGCAGGTAATCTCTGTGAGATCCAGGCCAGCCTGGTCTACAGAGCAATTGCCAGGCCATCTGGGCTACAGGGAGACCCTGTCTTAAAAAACAAAACAAAACAAAACAAAAGCAAAACCAACAACTCTTGGACCCACATTCCTTGTCTGAATTGCTTCAGACTCTGACATTAGAGGCTTACTCTGGACAGACATCATAGCCTTAGAAGCTAGTCTGGGCACAGGAGTCAGTCTACAAAATTCAGACATGTTTGAAGACTAAGGGACTTTTATATATTCCCTTCATACACTCAGCTTTCACTGACGTCGAAGGTAGACTGGAAACAAAAGCCACACTCATTTTCTTCTGAGAAAATACATTACCTTTTTTTTTTTTTTAAAGTTCTAGTTACACTGTGGGGAATGTTTTTATTTTTCAAATACCCTGTCTCTGCTGTGGCAGCATGATTGCTTTTCTGACAGCATCACTGGTACATCTCCTAGTCACCCCAGGAAGAGCATTATGGGGATTTTCCTCTAGGAAGGAACAGCAAATTCGCTGCTCCCCAAGGTACACCTGATTTGAAGCACAATACAAACGAACTAAAAACACATAACACAGCCATGAATCAAAGTTTGGCAATTTAGTTAAAATAAACGGTCTCATCTAGAACACAATGGGAGTGTAAAAGAGAATTGCAAAAATAACCGGAATTCTGAGAGATTTTACAACTTCCCCAGGGTTTGTTCTCCTCCAAATGGGCAGTATGAGAAGAACTAGAGGTACAAAACAAACGGAAGTGCCGGAAATGTCCTCATTCGGAGGAAGTATAATAGCATGGAGGAAGCGGGCAGCTTGGGTGGCTCCTGGAGCAGGTGCGGCCCCCTGTGATTTAAGCAGGACCGCAGCGCTTGGTGTTGCCTAGAGGCTGCGCCACCGCGACAGCTGACCGGTTTGCGCAGCAGCACCTAGAAGGCGCTTTCACAGGAGCAGGGTGGCGGTCTGGGGCGCGGCGGGGGTGGGCGCAGGCAGCCCTGGTCCCGCCGAGCGTGGTGATAATGGGGATGTGGCCAGCGGTGGCGGTGGAGTGCCTGGTGGTCCCCGGCCCCCACGCTGTCCTCGGCTTCTCCCTCCCTCCGGCAGCACCCAACTCCCAGGCGCCTCAGTAGCCGCCGCCAGAGCCGGCAGTCGCCCGCCTGGAAGAAGAGGTAGACGAAAGGGTTGAGAGCGCTGCTGGCCACCCCTACGACGCGCATCGCCACCGCCAGGCCCTCTCCCTCCCAGTCACCCGCCGGCCCCGACGACCAGGCGGCAGCCAAGCGGGCGGCGAAATAGGGCAGCTCGCAACCCACGAAGAGCAGCGCCAGCACCAGGCTCATCTTTAGGCTCTGCACCTTGGCGTGGGGTAGCGCACAGGGCTCGGCAGCCGAAGGGGCCTGAGATCGGCGCTGCCACCAGACGCACAGCAGGTGGCCGCAAGCGACGCCCATGACCGCGACGGGCGCCGCGAAGCCCACGATCGCCTCGTAGAGCGCGTAGACCTGCAGGTGCCAGCGCGGCAGGGGCGCAAAGATGCTCCGGCAGCGACGCTCCCCCCGCCAGGCGCCCGAGGACGGAGGCGGTGGCCGAGTGTCCCAGCGCACCACGAAGGTGGGAGGCAGCGCCAGCAGCAGCGCCAGCAGCCAGCCCAGGGAGGCCAGAGCGCGCGCCGGCAGCGCCGGACCCTGCGGACGGCGCACCGTGCGCTGACGCTCGAGGGCGATCAGCGCCACGAGGTGGGCAGAGGCGCCCCGGCCGGATGCCTGCAGCAGCTGCGAGACACGGCACGCCAGGTGGCCCGCCGCTGGCCGCGGCTCTCCCAGCAGCTCCCAGGCCAGCTGCGCCAGCGCAGTGCCCCCGCACGCGTACAGGTCCGCCGCTGCCAGCTGCACCAGCAGGAAGTCCATCTTGCGCCGCTTGGGACCCGCCCAGGACCCGCCGGCGCCGCAGCACAGGCGGTACAGCACCGTGGTGTTGCCGGCCACGGCCGCCGCTAGGATGATCCCCAGGAAGAGCAAGCGGGTCCAGTGGCTGGGTGGCCCGCGTGGCGGCGGCTGCGGTCCCGGGACACCCTGTCCCGAAGTCAGGTTGAGACCCCAGCTCGGCGGGATGGGTGCTGAGAGGTTGGGCGCCAGCGGCAGAGCCGAGGGACTGAACGGATCTTCCATCCTTAGCCTGGAGGAAGAGGAGGCACAGCCGAGGGCGGTAAGGGCGCGAACAGCCCAAGTAGAGGCCAGGTGACTCCGGGTCGGCGACTTCCCAAAGTTAGTTTAAAAGCACACGCATCCGGAGCGAGATGGATTCGGGTGGATTAGCGCTTAGTTGTTTTTATAGGTTGTCCTCGTCATTTGTCACTCAAATGTGGGTTGTACATTCGAGGAACACACATGACTCCTATCTCCACCTTCTCTGCGTCTACCCCCCGCCCCGCAGCCCCCAATCTCAGCAGATCTAATGAGAATTGGCATTATTTGGAGCTGAGGTGTAGTCCTGTGATAGACTACTTGCCCAGCATGCTCGTTCTGCGCTAGTCCCTAAGTGGGGTTGAGGGAGTTGGGGAACCCTGCTGGGTTTCTTGTGTGCCTGTGTTTCCCACACTAGTGCAAACCCATGGCATTATAAACGTTTGTGGTATTTTTCTTTCTTTCCTTTTTAAAATCAAAACTAATATTCATTGAACCTGGGGACCACTGGGCTCAGGGAATCTCGCTGGGCTTGGAGAATCTCACAGGCTCGCTTTTTATGGGTAGAGTACAGATAGAAGGTCGCTTTGCGTGGCCACTGTAAAGGCTAATTAATGTCCACTGGGGACCAAAATATGAGGTAGGAAGCTGCTGACCAAGACTGTAAACCGCCCCCCACAAAAGTGGATTTCGTGGTTGCTGATAAGAAAAAATACTAGTTTTGTTTAAAACACACACACACACACACACACACACACACACACACACACACACACACACACATTTTGTAATGGCATGGGTTTGCGCTAACTGGGAAACACAGGCAAACAAGAAACCCAGTAGGGTCTCCCGACTCCCTCTCCCTCAACCCCACTTGGGGACTAGAGCAGACCTAGCATGCTAGGCAAGCAGTCTATCACAGAACTACACCTCAGCTCCTAATAATACTAATAGTGTTTTGAGCAGAGGCATTGGGTGAATGTTAGGGGCATGTCTTCCTCTGCCTGCAGTGAATGTTTTAATTGGGGAGAAGTAAAGCAACACTTTTGCCTGGTAATTAGCCAAAATGGTTGCAGACACTTCTAATACCCTCCTTACTAGAAGAAGCAGCAGATGACAGCTGTTCTGTAGTGATGTAAAATTCAATTTATTAGTCTGAAGAGGGCATTAATAGGTTTTTGTGCAAGTGGTAATGTATGCATTTCGTTCCTCTAGTATTTTCATCTAGTGAGGGATGTGTCACCCAGGCTCTTCATTTTCTTGTTTTCTAGCAGATGGGAAGTTGCTAGGAGGGACTACGCCTCCAATAAGCCTAGAGAAAAGGTGACTAAGAACATGATAAGGCGGCCAATTTTTAAAAAAGAAATTCAAATCACAGGAAATGGTTTAGACTTAATGCTGCCTCTTTTAGCCCACAAACTCACAAACAAGTTTTTGTTCTCCTGTTGGAAGCATCATTTTGTCTTTTGTGCATCCATCACATTAATCATGTTGAAAGTAGAACAATTGTAACTTGGTCTGGGGGCCAGGGAGGTGTGGGTGTCCCAAGCTTCCCAGGCTGAGGTAATATTTGCAACTTGCAGATGCATGGGTTAGGAGGGTTTTGGTAGGGTACATATTGCTGCAGAAATCTCATCTTCTAAGACCTTTTATTTGCCTGGAGACGTTTGTCATTTTCATTATATCAGGTCTGCTAGACCTGATGCATAGCAGATATCAGTGAATATTTGTTGACTTGATGAATTAATGAATATATAGTGCATTTCAGGTAACTTAGAACAGAGTTCTTGCCTTGACACTAAATCTACTGTATAAGAATACCCTTCATATCTGTGCTTGGATCGTCCAGAGGAGCCCCAGAAATATCTGAGATGTCTGGATGTTGGTAATGTCTTGGTTGGGATAGTGAAGGAAGAGGTAGAGTGATAGCAATGGGGGAATAAAAATTTTGATTTGATTTTCCCATTCTTTCCTCAGTTTGTACAAGGCCTTTTTCCTGTATAACACATGGTCCAATCTTAGGATCCTGTCTCTGAGCAATACCTATCAATCATTGATTCTCCTGCAAATGTCAGCTCAATCTTTCTTAACATAGTTCTACAGTTTGAGCTAGGCATGGTGATGCATGCCTTTAATACCAGCACCTGGGAGGCAGAGGCAGGATCTCTGTGAGGTGGAGGCCAGCCTAGTCTACATACCAACTTATGGGCCAGCTGGGGCTATAAGGAACCTGTCTCAAAAAACCAACCAACCAACCAACCAACCAGCCAAACAAACAAAAAAACCACCCAAAACCCAACCAAAAACAATTCTAGTTTCTTTCAGATTTGTAGCAATGTTCTCATATATTGTAAAATTCTAGCACTGAAACTTCATTTTACATAACTTTAGAAAGACCTGATAAAGCATTAATTTTTAAAGAGTTCAAGATACCGGAATGCACATAGTTTTGTAAGTCAGCTGCAAGGAAAGCTGGTAACACAAAGGGCTATTTAGCATTACAAACCTGCCTCTATAGCTCTTCTAGAGGGAAATTATTTCAATTCTATTTGCCATTTCTTCTGGTATTTGCTTAATTTCATCTAATTAGTGTGTAATGCTATTTATTGATCCAACATTTTTAGATATTTTATGAGATAGGATAAAGATTTAGTTGCTAAAACTCCTCTGAGATTCTGACAGTAGGTAATTGTCTTGATTTGAAAAATTTCCCTTATTTTCTGTTTTCATTATTGTTTGGTAGCATTTTAAATTAGATGTTGTCCTGAAAATTCAATAGTGCTGGATTGGTGAGCTGGCTCAGCAGGTAAAGGTGTATGCCACCAAGACTGATGACCTCTTTGATCCTCAAGGATCCACATGATGGGAGAACCAACTCCTACAGGTTACCCTTTGACCTTCATGTCTTGCCACAGCAAGCATGCACCCACATGCCAATACACACACACACACACACACACACACACACACACACACACACACATGCACACACACAATTTTTTTTTAAAGCTCAAGCATGCCTAATATGACCCAATGTAATATGCTTAAAACATTGTGGATACTCTGTAAATTATTAACAATGAATGTATCTTTGAGGAGCTGAGAATAATAAGGTGAATTACATTTAAATTCACAAGCTTATGTTTCAAAACCATCTTTCTGTTGTTATTGCTTTTGTCCTCTGTAATTAGCATATACACCCACACATGAGCTAGTTTGTTCTTCAGGCTTAATCAGGAGATGCTGGGAGGTAGACTTGTTTATATTTTAATCTTAATGTAATAAGATTTTTTTCTTAAAAGTTTCATTTCACAGTTTATAAATATAAAATATATATCAAGCAGAGTTTATTACCCAGAAATTTATGATTGCAAAGGTAAGGTCCTATGGATCTATAAAGAACAGTAAGATAAAGGAGAGGGATTGACTTATGAAGGAAGTTCAAATACAGTTTGAAAATGTAGCTGTTGGGCAAAGTAAATGTTTGCAGATAAGCCCTTTTCTTGGAAACTCTAAGGAATCAACTGAAAAGCTACTGCAGGGTTGGTAAAAAGCTCAGTGGGTAAAAGCATTCAGTTCCTGGAACCCACATAAAGGTGGAAGTAGAGAACTGATTCTACCATGGAGGTAAGAAGGCAGCATCAGATCCCCTGGAACTGGAGCCACAGATGGCTGTTAATCGCCATATGGGTCCTGAGAATCAAACCCAGGCCTTCTGCAAGAGCAGTCAGTGCTTTTAACCTCTATTTGTTTTGCTCTTAACCCCTATTTGGTTTTTTGTTTGTTTGTTTGTTTTCTTTGGACAAGGTTTTATGTTGCTGTTGAATAGGTGTATCCTCAGAAAGAACCAGTAACAGCTGAATGTTTGAACCCTAAGAGACTCCTAGACAGAGGAAGAGACAGTCATCCCTCTCAACTAATTGATCAGCTTCAGTTGCATGAGAGGGCAGGTCTAAGGACAGGCACAGAGGAAGTCAGGAGGCAGCAGGAAGTTGTCATTTCGGCGGGGCATTGGCAGCGGTGGACCTTGAAAGCTTAGTTGAGATGTAGGGGACAGAGCCCACAGGTTTCCATGCCTTTGTAAGTAACCCCCTCCCGGATAGCATAAGTTTTGTTGGCAAGCCCAAATAAATATCTTTATTCCCCAAACTATAGCTTAGAAGGATATTATGTCGGTTTATTTTGAAAAGACAGCATGGGGCCTGGGGGCCGAGAGGGGTGCAGTTGTGCCTCGCAGAGGGCCTGAGAGCTGAGAGAGTAGTGTGAGCCTCCCAGGAGAGAATTTGGCTTTACAGTAGCCCAGGTTGGTCTCCATGCCAAGATATAAACAAAGGGAAAAACTGGACTATGTTCTTCAGAATGACCGTCATAAAAATTTTAATTCTCTCTAAATTAGGCTATAAATTTAATAACTTCTTTAAAAAGGCTAAAGGATTATTCATTTTTATAATTACACATTCTAAATTCATATGGAAAAAGCAAGCAAGAGTATCTGGGGTGATTCTGATAAGAAAACTGCAGAAAGACTCTTCCTACCAGGCAATGGCCACCAGATTAGGAGAAGAGTCCAGTGAGAAACAGAATGCTCAGAAAGAGAGAATGTGTGAATGGGCCCTTGTATGTGTTCAAGTCAGTGGGAGGAAAGACAGTTTATTCAACCCAAGGTGTTATGTAATCAAGTGCAAGGGGACAAGAGATAGTTTATTCAAAAAAGGTTAATAGTTTAGCAATGAAAAACAAACAAAAAGAAACCGATAACACCAAAAGCTAAAGTTAGAGCTCTAATATGTAATATAGGGGGCTGGAGAGATGGCTCAGCAGTTAAGAGCACTGAATGTTCTTGCAGAAGACCTAGGTTTGGATCCCAGCACCCACATGGCAACTAACAACTGTCTGTAACTCCAGTTCCAGGGGATCCGACAGCCTCTTCTGTCCTCCGCGGGCATTGCACGACACGACATGGGTGCACTTACCTACACACAGGCAATACATGCATATACATCAAAATATAAAAATAATAAATAAAATATTAAAAAATGTAATATATTCCACATGGGTCAAAGATCTAAGGGTTAAAAATAAAACTGTTTATAAACGTAAGAGGGAAGAGCATTATAAATAGGACACAAAATCCCACAGCCACAAAACAAAGAACCACAAAAATTTAAATACTGTTTTAATTGAAAAATCATAATTATATATACTTATTTGGTACAAAGATTCATAAGTTTGTTACAAGAAAATACAAATTTCTACATGTCCCAAAACACCAGGTCAATATAAAAAGACAAATAACGAAGATAGACTGGAAAGAAAGGAATGTTTTTTACAAAAAGCTAACACGTAACACATGTCTGTAATAGAAAAACAAGGCTAACAACCAACAAATAGAACAAGGGCAGAAATAGAGAAGATCATAATCAAATTCTAATGGCTTTTGGATCTATGAAAAAAACTCATTACAATGATTAAAAATAAAATAGTTGCTGTCTGTTATATTGGTAAGTGATATGAAAACATGCATTTCTGGTGAGAATACCATTAGTGTAACTTCTTTTCTTTAGATATATATATTTTTTGTTGATATAATTTTGATCCAGTAATTTTACTTATAAGTATCAACTGTTAAGTGGAAATAAATACATAAGGAAGCAATATGCAAGACAAAACATACATTATCAATTGTATGTGTGTGCGTGTGTGTGTGTGTGTGCCTGCATGTGGAAAAGTTGTAGCTTGTCCACCAAAGGATGCAAACCACGATGATTTTCATAGTTCCTTTTGGAAGGGAAACTGACTTGGAAAACAAGGAGACTTCATGTCCACTGCTGACCCTTTTGTACCTTTTGAATAAAGTCAGTGATATCCAGGGTCTATGTCTCATTAGATAGTCTTAACACAGCAAATGCATCCAAATAGTTCCATCACCCTTGAAACATCATGGCTCACATTTATGGTTCATAAATAATAATAGCTATGAAAATATTTCATATTCTACATTATCCCAAGAAATATAACTTAAGAGTATCTGCTCCTATCCTTTAAATACTTCCACTATTAAAGTGTCAGAGATTTGTAAGGTCTTAATAGTGACCATCTTAGATTCTGTAGTTCTGCAATCATTGGCACTTAAGATAGAATACATGGTTTAAAAGTAAGTAAAGTCAGTGATTACTAACACTTCCAGTTAAAGTAGATAACACAGTCATCTGTCGCTCTAGAGCACAGTTACCAGAGCAGTGTGGGTTTTAAGCCACCGCTGGATTGCATTTTCATACTTCCTTGGTTTTTTCAGCCACTCTTGATGCCACCTAAGATTTGCTATAACATTTGAATAATTCTGTCCTACACTTTGTTTCCACATGATAAACTGCTCTTTATTGTACTGGTGGACAGAAGCAGACACTTTAGGGTAGTTTATAATAGAACGAAGCTTCTGGTCCAAAGAATAAGTAATTTCTGGGAATTTTGTAGCAATATTTGTTAGTTCATCTGGATCCAAGGAAAGATCTGAAAGAAAAAGAATAAAATAACCGTTTAAAATACTTATATGCTAAAATTGTTTTCCAGAATGTTATCATGACAGATAATGGCTTTATTTCCATTTTCAATTCCTCTTAGAGGAGTAAAATAGAGGAGAGTATGCAGTCACATACGATATAAATGCCTTTCAATCAGCAGCACATCACATTTGCACAGCTAAGATCAGACCATGGGTGACTCCCAGGGCATGAGTCCTATGCTGTTGGCACAGCAATGACATAGCCTAGTGGTACATTTCCCATCATGAAGCAGTGAATGACTACAGATGAAACGTACAAAGGTCAAGTATTCCTGTAGTATATGCCCATGTTATCTTCCCTGCACATCCTTCTGACCCACTTTTTTGTTATCTACTCTCTGATGCTAGAAACAGTCAAACCCTCATCATTAGTGAGCTGACTTAGAAACAGTTCTTCCGTTTCTTGCCTCTTTACAAGCAGAGGAAAATAAAAACAATGCTTTTAAATGTCCCATTTTAACCTTTTTACTCTCCCCAGCTATAAGAGTTCCTCATATAGGTGGGCAAGAATCACCAGCCATAGCTGAGGAGCTGTTGGCAACTGATAGCTGCTGGGAGAGGGAGAGTCAGTCTTCTTTAAGGGTGTGATGATGCTGGGTAGGTTGACCAGGCTCCACGGGATAGACCCACACTGATGGACATTTGAGAATACAAATTAGACTTGATAGGCCTTAAAAGAACAGAGGACATGAAATTGGGTAGGGGAGGAGATAGGGAAAGAGGTCTGAATATGATCAAAATACACTGTATGAAATTTTAAAAACCCAGTAAAATATTGAAAAAGAACTCCTCAAATGGATAAGTCATGTTCCTATATGACTCAGTCTTATGTTAATTTAGGCATCTTCTTGCCTGGATTTCTTAAAGTTATATTAACCAATACTGCCCACTTGAGCAAAGAGCCATGGAAATAAACATTTCTCAACCAGTACTAGTGAGAAAACAGTGACACAGATCGATCAGTGCTCTTTTTACATATGGCATGGGAAGTCAGAAGCTGTAACTTAGAGTACCAATCCAGCTGGAAAAACACTGAGTGAAAGACCAGACTCTATGAAATTAACTTCAGATAGTGAAGAACACTGTATGTACAGGGAAAAGCTTCCATGGGCCTGTTTGGGTTCACTGTCTAGGAGACACTTGGAGGCACACGTGAGTTTGCTCAGTGACTTCGGACAGCACCTCTTTGGGAAAGGGGAGTTCATAAATAAACTGTAGAGAATACAGTTGGGGTTAGCATACCCATTGATCTTTCAAGTCAGATCTGTCCTTTTGCAGACCGTAGTATAAAGACACAAAATTTCAGCTGGTTTTTATTTTTAATTGGCTTTAATTTAGCAATTCACAAATTGGCCAGCATCCCACCTAAAGAATTAGACAAAGTGCTCTGATGAGGCTGGAGGAGGAGAAGGTGGGCAGAAGATGAAGGAATCAGAAACAAGGAACAAAGGGCAGATTGGTAGCTATAACACTCCCTTTCCATCTATGGTTAATCCAGAAGGGATTCATTATCATTTAGAGCTGTTAAGACAAGGCCCTTCTGATTAGTTGCTGTGGGTCTTCAAATTATTTGAAAGCTGGTTTGATTACCCAGCACTGAGCATGAGTGACTCCATTCTGGTTTGGTCAGGTTTGATGGGCCTGATGTAGAAGCTCAATCCCAGCAGTGGCTCCCATGGATTTCATTAACAGTGGCTGCTACAGGTACATGAGGTGCTCACTACTTACCAGGATGAAAATTTCAGGACTTGTTTTTGAAGCCAGGAATCCCCTGCTCTTAAATGTAAGGAAGTTATCTACTTTGGCCCCCTAAAGAATTACTTGCAATTAAAAATTCTGACATTTTTAACTAGGATGGAAACTTAGAGAGAAATAAATATTAACAATGGCCTTGATATCTATTTTATGAACAAAATGTGACAAAGGATAAGTAATACCCCAAATCAAAAAATGCTGTTTAAAAATCAATTCACAGAGCACAGAGCTAGCCGGCGTTTTCACAGGGTGGAAGGAAGGAGTCTGCAGTCAGATCTGTGGTGAACTTTCAGTTTTTCTGCTTTTTAGCTCTGAGACTCTCGACAGCTGTCTAAATGTCTGTGACTAGTCTCTCTGTAAAATGAGGAGAGTGGTACTATCTTGTAGGGTTGTGGTGAACATTAACTATATGTGTAGAGTGTACAGATGCTTCAAGAGCTAGGCATTAATATTTTAGAACAAATGAAACTGAAGTACAATGAGAAGGTGTTGACTGCTAATGGAGAAATATTATGAGTATTGACTGCTTCCTGATCAGGAAACCTTAGTTTGAATTATGAGACCCAGATCCAAAGCCTCAGGGCACTTTCTCTAACTGTCAGGTGCTCATTTGCAAGGAAGCTGTTCCTCTTTCCTTAGTTGAACACTGGAACTGGTATCATTACATTTCCCTATCATTACAAGTCATGGAGACTAAAGATTCCACACGAATATTGGAAACATGGAGACTAGACTCAAATGCTTACTCTACAAGCAATGAGACTTAGGTAATTTTTGTTAGCCTGTCTCAGCATGAATGGGCATTCCATTCATTTAGTCATGATTATTGAATCTCTTGATCAATGCTGTGTAGATCAGCTCATTACACATAATATTACACTTAAAAATACATTAAATTTACCAAAGAGTTGAGGCGGTACCGAAGCACCGTCAGAGTAGGCTATATACTTCCACTGGTCCACTCGAAGCATGTAGGTGGAAGCGTTTACATTGCATCCGTGGAATTCACTCAGGATCCAAGGTGGGTGGAGGTCTTTGAGTGAGTGCCCATTCTCAGATAGTTCTGATGCCAGTGGCAGCAAAGAGTGTCCACTCAGGTTCTGAGGCACTGGAATCCCAGCGATATCTTTGGAATAAAAACAATTTTTAATAATTCATTTAAAAATTAGTTGCACATTCCAAAATAACATCATTTATATTTTTCCTAAGGTTGCAGAGACTGAGATTATGCATGGATTTTGTAACCAGGCTGCAGGCTGAAGTGATTACTCTATTAGCCATGTAACCTTGAGTGAGTTATTAACTCTTCTGAGTCTCAGTTTCCTCATTTGAAAAAGAGGCATAATAACAGTACTTATCTCTCATTTATTCCTTTCAGTGTAAATAGGCTAATTTCGTTAAAATTTTGAGACTAGTTTGTGGCATATAAGAGCCCTCAATCAAATCAGTTAATACCATCAAATTAGTTAATATCTCATAGTTTGTTTCTTGGGATATTCATGAGACTCATACAAAAAGAGGATTAGTAGCTGTGTATGTTTGCAAAACAATGGTTAAAAAAAACTAGGTAATTTATTATAGATGTAAATTTATTACTGATGTGTATTATGAACTCAAAGATGGTATATGGTACACCCTATGCCCCAAAGTGATTTGAATATACACACAAAATAAAGGTTTTTTAAAAAATTTATTTAATAACTACATACTTAGATGAACCATTTCATTACAACAACATTGACATATTCAATAACGTTTTTTTGAGCTAAGATGCATCTCTTTCAAAATTGGCTATAAATTTTTAGGTTTACAGTTGAATTATTACAGTTATACAATATTGTACTCAGTATAAACCCTATAAGACATAAAATTAAATGAGGTTTTAACCTTTGAAAAAGATCTCCATTTCATTATTAAAATACACAGTTTCATACAGAAAAATTCATTTTTAATACAATTGATACTAAGATGCATATGTGTTTCTAATATCTGATTATTACTAGTGATGATTATTTTTAACTGTTAAATAAAAACAGTTAGATAAGAGCATAACAATTATATCACTAAAGAGAGGATATATTTTCAACACTAACCTTAAGGTATTTGTTTGGAACTCAAATTATTTTTTTCCTTTAAAAACACAAGTATGGCTACACACTCAGGACAGCTCCAAAATGAGTCTTCAGTCCCCTCCCTACCCCTTTTCTGGTTTATATTCTTTCTTTTTATGTAAATTCAAGTATGTCCAATGAAAAATAGAAAACATTGTATCCGAAATGTTAGAAATTAAACAAACTGAATAAAATTACTAATTCATGTATATTTGTAGAAAACCAAGTTGATTAAAGGGGAGTAAGGAAGTGAACAGAGACCTCTATAAAGCAGGTTCCTGTTTAACAAATAAGTTAACTAAAAATTGTGTTTTTCCTTTTCCTTGAAAGAGACATTTAAAATTACTATTCTACCAATCAATCACAATTGGGAACTCTTCTGATTCACAAAGAACAAAGAGGGAAGCATTTCAGAGATAATTGGCTAAAAACAAAGAAAAGGCCTTAGAAAATGTACATGAGAGAAAGGGGATGTCAGAGATGAAACCATGCTCCAGGAAAGCAGCCCTCTCACTGCAAGGAGAGGAAAGAAAATCTCAGGATGGAGTCTGGGTGAGGGAGACCTGTGTTTTGGCCATCACTAGTGAGCGGCAGGAAGAGAGAAGAGACTCTGAAGATGGCTGGGAAGCAGGGAACAACTGGCATATATTCATAAGTAGCATAACTAGTTAGCATTTAAATAATCTGTACTATGGAAAGATATTTTAGACCTGTTAGATAATTTTCCTGAAAAGGTATAGAAGACTGTGATTCTCCCGTGTTTCTGAAAAGTCAGTAGTAAACTGAGATGAGTCCTTTCATATGTTCATTTGATTCAGCAAATCAAATCCTGTTTCAGGTGCAGGAACAGTGGACAGACAAATCAGCTCTCCAGAATTTGCCTTCTAATGTAGGGAAAAAATACAGATATGTTAGATGGTAAAATGGGTGTAAGGGAGAATAAAACTGGCTAAGAGAGACAGTAAGGGTGAGCATGTGCTGTGTGGGTTTCTGCTGTTTGTATCATATGGTCAGAAAGGCCTCTCTGATAAGGTGAAATTTTAACAAAGACCCTACATAGGAAAGGCTAGTGAACTCGTGTGTGTGTGTGTGTGTGTGTGTGTGTGTGTGTGACACACACCAGCAGACAAGATATCCTACTTCCCAAGGAACGGGTGTGTGTGTGTGTGTGTGTGTGTGTGTGTATGTGTGTGTGACACACACCAGCAGACAAGATATCCTACTTCCCAAGGAACAGCACATGTAAAGCCCTTGAACCAGGGACCTGATTGGTTCAATTCTTAAGTTCTCAGAAAGGCTGCATGGAGTAGGGGGTGCAACTGTATGAGATGAGCTGGGGAGGGGAAAAGATAATGTGGCACCTCCAGGGCCAATGAAAGAATTTGGACTTTTCTTTGGGTAGCATAGGAAATCAGTAGATGTTGAGCAAATGAGTGACACAGACCTGGGCTAGCAACTGTATGGCAAACTGATGTACAGTGGCACAGACACTACAGTGATAGGAACAGCTGGGAAGCCTTGGCAAAAGTCCAAGAAAGAGATAATGGGGCTTCTTTCCAGTCTATTACTGACAGAGTAGTATTTTTTTGTAAATTGATGTTAAAGAATAAAACTGATGCCTAATACCTATATTGTTTAATAAGTACTTTAAATATCCTTTTTTTTTGTACTTCAGAAAAATCACGTTTTCATTTCCTATCTATTTAACAATGATTTCCTTAAAAAACATTTTAGTGGCCCTTTAAATGTTTCATTCCCTATCTATTTAACAGTGATTTCCTTAAAAAACATTTTAGCGGCCTCCAGTGTCCTAGTTGCAGCACCTTCCCTGGGTAAGTCCAGCATGCCCACTGTACCTTGACTCCCCCAGCCTCTTTCACCCTGCCAGCTCCCCAGCCACATTGCTCCTCCTAGCCTGGGTAAAGGCCCATTTACTGTCTTGGCACCCCAAACACCAGGGCTAACCTCTTGGCACAGAGCCATCACTGCTTCCTGATCCTTTGCATCCTGACCAACCCAGTTCCTCCCTGAGGCCCCCAGGAACCCTCTGGGCCTGGCCCCACCCTCACCTCCCTTTACTTCCCTGGGTGGCACACCCACCACCTTCCCGAGAGCAGCATCTATCCTGGGCCCTTCTCCCAGGTCAGGCCAGCCCAGCCCCCAAATTCCTGAGGGCAGCATCTTTCCTGGAGGGACCCACACCTTAGGATAAAGCCTGAAAGCATCTGAGCCTCATCTCACTTGGGCCTCTGTGGGAACTCCTGAAGACAAAAGCAATTAGGCCACTCCAATATAAAATCAAAACAGAGAACCTGAAGCCTAGACCAACCAGCTTTTCATGCCCAACAAGTAAACCACAAAGGCACATAAAGTTTACAAAAAGAAGCAGATCTAAACTCAACAAAGGAAGGCTTGAGTCTCACACAAGAATAAGAAAATACAAAGGAAATTCACATGCCAAAGTCACAGAGAAAAAAATAATAACATGAAAAACCAAAATAATATATCCCCACCAGTATCAATAGTCATCTAGAGAAGTACAATGAGAACTCCTAGAGTTCCAGGACATGGAACTCAAAAGAACAATTATAAACATGATAAAAAGAACTCAGTGAATTTAAAGAACACACAAACAAAGAAATCAAAGAACTGAAGGAAGATAGGGATAAACTTCTGAATGAATTCAGAAAAGAGTTAGAAATATTGAAGAATACTCAGGCTGAAATGAAGAAGGAAGCGAAACACTCAGTAAGCCAATTAGGAACAACAGGAGAAAGCCTCAACAATAAGGTGAATGAACTGGAAAACAGAATATCAAGACTAGAGGATAAAGAAGACGAATTAGACCACTCAAGCAACGATTATAAAATATTAAGAAAACACAAGAATGGAATATGCAAGAATTGTGTGACACCACAAAACAAACAAACAAACAAACAAACAAACAAAACACACCAAACTTACAAATCATAGGTATACAAGAAGGAGAAGAATCTCAAGATAATGGTATGGAACAGATCTTCAACAGAATTGTAGAAAAGTTTCCCAAAATTAAAAAAAGACATGCCCATATAAATACAAGAAGTGTTATAGAACACCAACAGACAGGATGAGAAAAGAAACTCTCCACAGCATATCACAGTGAAAACACTACACGTACAAAACAAAGAGACAATACTGAAAGCTGCAAAAGAGAAACAACAAGTCACATATAAAGGAAAACCCATTAGGATT